TCAAAGCTTTGATGTATTTTCTTCCTTGTCAACAAGACTAAGTTCATTTAGAAGTGACAAACTTATTTACAATTCTTCTATTTTGTAAAAGAAATGAAATCTTGAGAGAACAGTGCTGTAAGATTTCAAGATTAAACATTAGATTTATCTGTTACATTTGTTGCCTGCTATTGGCTAATTTCATGGTTACATTTCCTAATTTCTTAGACATTTCTGGAAACTCCCTAAAACTTTGATAGAATATTTTCCTATAGGATACTGGATTTTACTTCTAGTTCTCATAGACCTTGACTCAATATTTATAATCAAAAAGTGTTTTTTTTAAGGTGACTTATGGCCTTTATACTGAGTAGTAATATCTGAAGAACTTTTCCACAGAAGTTTGTTTTGACATTTTGCTTATTCCCTTTGTTATTCGTGTATCATCAATATGAACACTAAAGTCTGAAACTTATTAGCTTTCTGTTGATATTATTATACCAAAGTGGTTGTAGGCCTTGAAGCTCAGTTATTAATTAAGGAAGATTTTGACGAAGTATTACTTATGTTTACTTCTCTCTCTGATGTAACCACATTGGAACGCATTTCAGGAGCTATTATAGGTGCTCGTCTGCCGGCTGTCCTGTCCGCAAGCATGTTGAGAGGGCTACCGACAATTCAACAGCAATCATAGTTACTTATGAAGGCAAACATGACCATGATGTTCCTATTCCCAAGAAGCAATATTATGTTGCCTCACCTAATGCTATGGCTTCTGGTGCAAACATGCTGTTAGACAAAACAGAAATCAAACCTCAATCCCGTGGATCTTCTGAAGAGCGATTAGACAAAACAGAAATTAAATCTCAATCCCAAGGATCCTCTGAAGAGCAGTTGGACAAAACAGACATTAAATCTCAACCCCATGGAGCTGTTGAAGAGCGGCCCAAAGATTTGGATAGTGACCTTGGAGAAGAGAAGGGTTCGGAAGCTGGTGCAGATAAAGTATTAGAGTCTGCTCGAATGCTGCTGAGCATTGGAATTGAACTTAAATCATGCTGAGAATTGTTAGTCCAAACTGCAAAAATTGGCTGCTGCGAAAATTCTGACATTGTTAACATCGTTGTACGTAGTTTGGTTCATTTACTAGTTGTAACTTCTGTATTGGGCTATCTATACATCTGGTATTGAGTTACGAATTCGATAGTATTGTTACAATGTTTAAACTCATTCTACCTACTAGGATAGGGGGAATTCCGAAAAGGAAACTCTGTTTTTGTTTACTTGTTAATTTCTTAATAGAGAGGTACTAAGTTTTTGATCCTTTTTTCTACTTATATATTAACCTGTTGAATTAGGGTTTGGAAAGTCTTAAGTTTATATATTTATTAAATCTAATCTAATTTATATAAATAAAGTAGGCCTTTTTGGAAAGCATTCGGAGCGTCACGTAAGAAAAGGTATTATTAGAAGAAAGATTTGTATTTTATTTTTGAATTAAAAAATTATGTCGCCACCTAGATAAAAGTAACGAATTAGATTTGATATATCTAAAATTTTAATGTCACGTAGATTATAATTCACGAATTAAATTATTTTAATGAAATAAAATAAAGTAAAAATATAGGAAAAGATATATTTATTAATTCGTATAAGAAATCCAAAAAAAATATACTAAGAAATATTTAAATGATAAACGCTTATAATGAAGTTTGATGCCTATTATTATAAGATAAATTTTGATAGTATTTATGATAAGAAATACAAATTGTTCGTTAATTATAATTAAATTAAAATTTGTGACACCTACCATTATAAATTGACACGTCATACGACACAAACAAAATTTCGTATCAATAAAAAACCCCATCAAGCGAATTTTGTGTTAGTAATTTTGTGTTAATTTTTGGTCATCAATGGCCGGGTAATTTTTAGCTTAATTTTTAAAATCCTATGTTTAAATTAGTATTTCTAGTTATTACTTACATTACATTAATTTAGGATACTCAACGATTATATGTTTATGTTTTGTTTACTAAATGTTTTTTTACAGATCTAACACATCATACGACACAAATAAAATTTCGTATCAATACAAAACCCCATCAAGAGAATTTTGTGTTTGTAATTTTGTGTTAGTTTAGGTCATCAATGTCCGGGTAATTTTTAAAATCTTATGTTTAAAGTTATATTTGTAATTATTAGTTACATTGTATTTATTTAGGATACTTAACGATTATTTGTTTATGTAATTGATGGCTTTGGTTATTTTCGGAGATGATGAAAAAATTCCAATGCATAGATTTGATTTTAATCGTAACAATTTTTCATTTATTGGTAAATATATTGATTTATTTTATATAAATGTAAAGATTTAATTTATATCAATTTCAGTTTGGCTAACATAAATTATCCATTGATATAGTAGGTTGGTTGTGGACGAGGTTGGTGATTCTATCGAAATAAAAGATATGGTAAAACAATGAATAATAATTTAGGATTTAATTATTAAAAATTTATCATTTCACATTAAAGATTTTATATAACGGAAAAATATCATATTTCCAATTTATTAATATTTAATAAATTCATTATAAATTATAGTAAAAAAAAATATTAAACTTTTGTAATTTTGTCTGAAATTATTAAATACAATAAATCAAATAATTAATAATGTTAGATGAAAAAACCGTGCAAAGCACGGGCTTCCATCTAGTGTTAGTTTATTTATGGGGCATATTTTGAGTTTTTATCAAACTTGGATATTTTTTTACAATAAAAAATAGAACACCCTCCATATTCAAATACAAGTTTTATTTTTAAATTTTGTACTATTTACATGCATTATTTTGATCGTATATTTAAAAAAAGAATTAAAAATTTTTTTTTGATATGCTTTTCGGATTTATAGAAGTATCAGTACTTACAATATTAATGGTTCCCGTAAGAAAAAATAAAAAAAAAATGGTTAAATATTAATTAGGATATCTTATGTGTTCAACATTAATAGAAAATCTAGCTTAATTAAGAAAAAAAAAAGTTTATTCATTCTATGTTTTTTTTTTCTGATTAGGTTAACTATTAGACAAAACAAAACTTGTCATGTCTAAAATATGGGCGTTTAACTATCTCGCAATATGCAGTTGTTGATTTTTTTAGGCAAGTTTCATTTTTAGGCAAGTTTCTTATTATTATACCGTTATTTTTTTTAATCTTTAATTTTGATAAAGTTTCCTTATTGTACTTGTACTCTTAAGTACGAGGATCGGTGAATAAAACCTATTCCAAGTAAAACAACTAGAACCATCTAACAAGCTTTAGAATTCCTAATCAACAAGTACTTCTTATTAGCTTATATTTTTATCTGAAATTCATATTAGTCATATACATTTAAGCTTTTTATATAGTAGTACTCTATATGCCTTCAAATTGCATGCCAAAAATTGAAGAATCCAACTCACAACAAATTAATGAGAGAAAAATAGAAGAATCTAAAAAAAACAAAAAGTATGATGGTTAATAATTTATCAACCATGGATATTCTAAAGGCTAAAGAAAGAATAACAAAGAAAACAACAAGAAAATCATCAAAATATAGAAGAAAGAAAAACATGCATGGAGCTAAAACTCAACCATCAACTTCCATGGACTGCCTCCCTCCCGAGATGATCTCCGAAGTACTTGCTCGTGTCGCCGCCTCCTCTCCGGTTGATTTAATTCGTTGCAAACTAAGGTTTGTATCATATTATATTTTCCCTTCATGCAATGTCTTAACTAATTATGTCAATTAGCATACTAATTAACATTGTGTTATTTAAATGATGAAAGTTGCAAGAGCCTTCAAAAGATATCGGGTGAGAAGGAAGTCCTACAACAAGTTTCCTTAGGAACAATTTGGAGACGTGTATGGCTTAGTGAAAAGGCGAGCACCTTCTTCACGAGGTGCCTAGAGAGCAACAACCCTGAAGCCCTTCTACATCTCGGATTTGTAATAATTCTTTACCATTTATAACTTTATCTTGTGCAATTTTTTTTTTATTTTTTATTTTTAATATTGAATTATTGTAAATTTTTGGTATGTTATTGTAGGCACAATACTTCACCCATATGGTGCAAGAAGAAGGGCTAAAAAATATGGCAAAAGCAGCCGAACTAAAATACAAGGAAGCGGCTTAGGTGTTAGGGCTTATATATCTATGTAGTGGAGAAGACGAAGACATGAAAAAGGGAGTTGAATTGTTGATGAACACCGGTAAAGTGATCGGAGGGAAAGGACTCGTCAAGTGTAGGAAGAATTTACGCGATATGATGTATTCGAGTTGGATGAATAATAAGCTTATTGTCGAAAACAAGCCAAAGCTTTCATGTGCCATGCGACATCAACACGAGAAGAACATGAGTAATTGGGATAAGGATGATTATTATCATGAGGATGGTGAAGATAATGTGGTTTGTGAAACTTGTAAATGTGCTCGGGAAGTTGATTTCTTTTATAAATTAATGAATGTTGTTTATTTAGTTTGATTATTGAATTTTAGTTAGGCCTCAAGAATATTGTAATTAATCTACTAAAGTTACGTAGGTGTTATTGTAATGAAAATAGAATTTATATTTATTATTATTATAGTATAAAATTTGTTCCTAAAAGCAAAAAAGCTAAGTTAAATCCTCTTTTTTACAACAATATGTTGTAAAGTAGAAATCCGATGCTAGTTATATTAAAAACTTACGGAAAAATTTCAGATTGATACCTATTATCCCGTAAGTTGCGACATTGCTTCAACTGCAAGTGTGCTCGAGAACTTGATTTCTTCTGTTAATCTTGTAGTATAAACTGTACAACTTCAGTTTAGCTGTCTTTTCTCGCAAATTACTAATTTCTATTTGTCTTCTTTGAACATATTTGGAAATTTATTATTCGTATTAAGATGGAAACTTGTATTTTATAATCTTATCTTTTTAATTTCCTGAATCATACACGCACACACGAAAATCAGGCGAAAAAGAAAGGAGTTGGGAAATAAATAACCAGAAAGTAGTAATTATTGATCTTGATAAGGATTTTGGTAAACAAGACATCAATTTGAACAACTTGTGATATTCTCAGCCTCACCCTAGACAAATCCAACTGTTTCAAAACAGTCAATCATCTCTTCTTTGAGCAGCTAAAGTAATTTCTTGTATAAGAAAAAAAAAATAAAAAATCTAGGGACTCGATATTCTACAAGTAAACATCAATGCTACAAAACTCTGGACTGGGCTACAGAAGACATCGGCTATCACATATCTGGTTCTCGCAGTGATGTAGGCAGGTCAAGCTCAGGCTCGTATTCTCCGAGTGGTGAGAAAAAGCAATCCACCATATCCTTGCTTACATCTTCAAGAGTAGGAGGATCCCACTGCAGAATTTAATGTATCGGTTATAAGAAAAGGGGACATAATGTTCACATTAAGTACAAACACTACTAAAAGAAGAAACATTCAGAAGCAATGATTTAGGAAGGCTTACTTTAGGAGCAAAGTCTTTGTCAACCAAGCGTGCCCTAACACCCTGTTTGAAAGAAACAAAATCAGAGAACTTTCAGAAATTTTGGTATTTCAAATCCTGCTTATGACATTAGAGGTAATTTAACAGCATATACCTCACAGAAGTCATTCGAAACTCTTTTGGATATGCAATTAACAGTTGTTCTGTATTCCCGAGCTAGACATTTGTCGATAGGTTGAAATCTCCCATCACGGATCTGAATTTGATTATAATAATAAAAAAATTAAAAAAAAAAAAGGCAAAATAAGAACCAAAAGAAGTAAGGATTATTGAGGGGAGACCAGCTAGAGATGTTACAAAGAGCTTACAGATCGTAGAGTGACTTTCAAGGTCAATGGAGAGGCTTCTTTTAGTTTCTTCAGGGTAGCCTTGCACCATTCATCAGAAGAATTAGCTGCCTCCTTTTCCTATGGAAATTGAACCATAATTCAAGAAGAATTAACGGACTATATTTTTTGCATTCATTCTGAGCAGCTAATATTTGCTAATTACACAAAGAAAATCTGAAAGTATAGTCAACGAGGTCAGACAAGCAGCAGGATGAATCTAACATAAAGCCCGGAGTCTATATACTGAAGCAAGTGAAGTCAACCTTAGTCACACTTTGCCATTCAGAATTTCAGAAACTACAGCTAGATCTGCCAGATTAGGCACATAATCCTTCTACCCTACAGGCCTACAGAGAATAGCATGAAATTTGCTAAAAAATTAACAGCCATGGGCGGCTACTGAAAAATAACCTTATGAAATCGGTGTTTCTTTTGGGGGCAAGTATATCAGTAGAACAGTAGGTATTTGATATACTCAAGTTCTGGTTGCATAATGGAAAAGAAATAATTCTCTAAAGAGACATACTAATATATCTAAATTCTCAGTTACTTTTGTCCATATAAAAACACTTTAAAGGTTTTATGAACTCAATACCAAGGACAAAGAAACTGCACAAGAAAAAACAGGGAAATCGCAAAAGCAGAAGCTCAAGTTAACCTGGTCGGTGTGAATTTGTTTGATGAGGTAGGTGATCACTAAGAAATTAATAAGAAACCTTAATGTCAAAAGTTTTTTTTTAAAAAATCTTATTAATCACATATCAAAACCCCATAATATCAACAATGGTTCAAAGCCTGTACAATCACAAAGGCACAAAACAGTGGTTGTTCCTAGATACACATATATAGAAGATCCTAATGACCAAAAATCATAGCTTCTCTCAAGTTTATGCAAGGAAGGTCATTGTAGTGAGGTAAACCATAATATGTGGTTGCTTGGTTAAATTTATATACATGGGGATTTGATTTTTCAATAAATTAGGTGTATGTGAACTTGTTTGGTAGGCAATTACATAGGAGTGACTGAGTAAGACACTGAGACTTCTTGGGAATTCCTATTTCCCACAAAATGGAAGTGTTAACTTGCCTAGTCCCCTAGGTAGGTGGAGATTCTCATGAGAATTGGAAATTCCGATATCCAACCAAACGAACCCTGACATTTCTTACAATTTAAACTTTCATGGCCATTGGAACTTTCCTAGGAAGTCATACTTCCTACAAATAACTAAACGACCACCAAGTACAGAGCCACCCACAAAAATTCCAGATTTCACCACAAAATAGTCTATCATCTTGACAAATTTGCTAAGGATTTGTTTATTATGACTAACCCTACATTCTATTTTCTACCAGGTTTGAAAAGCATGCAATCTACGACAAAATATTGACTCGTTGCCTGATTATACTAACACATTGACGCATTGCCTGACAAGTATGAGTGGTTCGCAAGGTGCAGTTTATATACACTAAGTTCACTGCTTTACAGTAGTCAGCAAATGAGAGCACTTTAGTTACAACAGTCAGGAAGTCTGCCAAAATTCTCCTTCATCAGGAAAAAAAGGAAAAAGAAAAAAGAGAAAAAAAAAAAAGAAAAAAAAAAGAAAAGAGTGACTACCACCCCACCCTTGGAAAAGAAAAGAGCTCTGCAGAGAAGCCAAATGATATCAAGAAAAGAAAGTAGAAATTATTCTTACCAGAGCATCAACAATCTCCTCAACTGTATCATGGCTGAAACATCTATCAATTGTTTCGATTCTGCATGATTCAATTGTCATTAGTAAATGAAAGAAATCACAAGAGATAGCAAAATATTCTCGTAATCATTATCCAAACAGCAGAAATAAAATCCTCTTTGCATAGAATTTTTTTTAAAATTATGATGTTTAGATGTATATCCCACCAAGCATAATTATGCGCCAAAACACAGAATTAACTACAACCAAATAACAAATTAGCATATGATGTACTGTTTGTATAGTTTCCTAATGGAGATGGACATGGTAGGGAAAGACGAGAGCTTGTTTGGTTGCACTTGTTTGACATAGGCAATAGAATTCCTAGGAAATTCTTAGATTCCTTGTTGTTTGGTTAACATGAAATTTGCAAAATGGGGGAATTGGAACTTCCTAGGAATTCTGAGTTCCTACATATCGGATGTTAATTACCTAACCTCCCCTTGGTCATTCACAATTCAAATAAAATGCAAATTCCCTCATGTCAACCAAACAAGTTTGGCAAATTCCTAGGAAATACATGAAGGATGTTACTTCCTATAAACTGTAAATGGCCATGGGAATTTAATTCCAATGCGACCAAAAACAAGCACTGTCTAGCATGTTAAGGGCATCTCATTTCCTATCTAACACAATTTAATCTGGGACATTTATAACTGCTGCCTTACAATAGCTTATCCCTCTTCAGAATCAAGGTATCAAATTCATTCATCAGTAAAAGCAACTCAGCAAAATGTCCCTGTGCCCTTCCCTTCAGTTTCCCGTAGTTCTTTGGCTCATAAGGTTAGATAGTTAACAATTTATAGAATCTTTGCTTACATTTTCCAGCACTAGCTAAGTATTAGTCAAAGAATCTGCTTAATTTCATAATCTTTGTATCAGAAGTATGTCATTATTTAAATCAACCAGCAAAGGTTAAGTAAGCTGTGAATTGAAGAGCAGAATAGAAATAACGTTGGCACCAAAGTTCACAAGCTTGGTTCTAAAGTAATATGGAGCTGCAAATGGCTAATTAAGAGGGGTCATATTGAGAAAGCAAAATAGAAGATTGACATTACTTGTAGATAATGCTACTCTTATCAGGGTAGACAAGGTCACCATATTGAGCAAGCGAACTTTCTACCACAGATGGATCGTCTGTGAACAATTTAGCAAGGCGCTCTTCTATCAACGGAAGTCTCTGCCAGATTCATTTATAACAGAAGAATAAATTGGAGTAAGCAAGTGCAAAACTTACTATCCGCATTCGTATTAATTAGCATATCAGAAATAACCAACCGCATTTAGGCAGTAATGAGTAGCAAGACCACAAGCAATCATATCAACACCATTCAGTTTATCTCCAGTCAGAGCCAGGTATTCCCCTGCATCAAAGAAAGTAATCCATAGAATTAATACAAATGTGCTAAAGATTTTAAGTTATTAACTCCTACAGTAATATATTATTGTAAATTAGATACACTAGACACAAAAACCTACCTAGATAACCAGGTAGACGAGAAAGGAAAAAAGAAGCCCCAGCATCAGGATGGAAACCCAGTTGTGTCTCTGGATGAGAAAATACCTGAAATTGTTGATTTCACGTTCAATATCACTTTGTCTGAATTAAAATGAGCATCACATAAATTGAGCAGAGTTTAAAAACTCACAGAGCCACTCAAGTTTTTAACCAAACGCCACTTGCAAAATGTTTCAAAGTAATGCTACAATTGCTGATTACAATAACTTATAACTGAACATGGAATGTTGTTCTTAGGCAGTAGTGGAGAAACAACACTTCTTTGTATCTATTCTATTTCACTAAAGGGAAGTTTAATTAGGAATGACATTTATTTTTTATATGAAAAGTTTGAATCATGCTTCAGAGAAACTTCAGAATTTCAATACTCTGAAGGGATATAGAGGCAGATTAAATAAAGTTCTGGACACCTTTCAGGAAAAGAAAGAGTGGTTTAATTTTTGTGATAGGACAATGTTGAGCAGAAAATAGGTTAAAATAATAATTAAAAAAAAAAAAAAAAGAAAAAAAAAGAAAGAAGAAGAAGAAACATCCATATGTAGAAAAAATTCATAAGGTAATTAAGTTATACTTTTTTTATTTTTTTTGAAACAATAATTAAGTTATACTTGTACATATATATAGTCACATAAAATGCACCTCTTGAAAGAAATGAGAACCAAATTTAAATTGTTTTGTTGTAGGTTTGGTTCCATGCACTACATATCATTAAATGCACGCATGATCAAAGAGGGGTCATGAATTCACACAATCACACCCCAAGAAGATGATAAATATATTACACAAAGAGAAGTAATAGGACATCAGAAAGCAATATTTCCTAGAGTACGGGACACACTGTTCTATCAGTCGCCACTCTGAACATTCCTAATAAAGATATACCAGCACCAGCTCCCATAGTGGTCCCATCCAAGATAGCCACCTACAGATTCAAGGAAACCCAGTTAGACTGATATGGATGACAATAGGTAACAACGTTAGAAAGTATTCACTTCCGTTTTATATTCATAATCAGAATGTAATCAGCAAATGATCATAACATTCAACTTTCAAGACCACATAAGTCCAATGCAAATTAATACAGCATATCACTTACATGAGGCTTAACATAAGTACCCATGAGGTATACAAATCTGTACAATGTAACGAAAAAGCTCTTACACTCTTCAACTTTCCCTGCACACAATCAAATAAAACAGAGGAAAAAGTAACAAACATTAACAACAGTATCTAAGAAAACAGTCTAGGCTGCATCCTCGAAGCTACAGTTGCTAAGCCAAGGCAATTAAATCTAACCCACCTTCATTAATCAGCTGATAGAGACTAACAACATCGGCACCAGAACAAAAAGCCTTCCCATTTCCCTTTCAAAAATCAAAAACAAATTCAGCATTCTATACACCTTTTAATTAAAATGTCAAAGCCAAAAGTTTTTATAAAAGGGCAAAAACTTCTAACAAAAATTTTAATTAGTTACCTTCATTATGATAAACCCAAGATCAGAGTTTTCTTCCCATGATTCATACAATCTCTTAAGCCTACTAGCCTATAATCAAAATAAAATTATACCAATTAACATAAACATTTAAAAGGTTCAATTAATTTAATAGAACGAGAATTTAAGTAGCAGACCATAGAAGTTGAAATGGCATTGAGTGAAGAAGGTCTGTTGAGAATTGCTGCCCTTGAATTTGCTCTTCCTTCAACCAAAACCTAGAATTTCAACAAAATGGGAAATTGGGTGTTGCTAAATTTCGTCTAATAATCAAAGAACAAAAAAACTGAAATTGCAAACAAACAGCGGAATTGGGTATTGCTAAACTTGCAAAAATTCAAAGAACAACAAAAAAAAAATTGAGATTACAAACAAAATGTGCAGTTGGGGAATACTTAACCTTGCCAATAAAAAAATAAAATAAAATAAAATTACAATTTCAAACAAAATGGGGAATTGAGTATCGCTTAAACTCGCAAAAATTCAAAGAAAAACCAAAATAATTAAAATTTCAAACAAAATGTACAATTGGGAAATGCCTAAACTTGCCAAATAATCAAAGAACAACAAGAACAAAGCTTGCCAATAAATAAAAAAAACAAAACCTAACATTTCAAATAAAAATTCAATGAACAACAAATAAAAATTGCAATTTGAAACAAAATGTGCAATTGGAAAATGCTAAAGCAAGCCAAATAATCAAAGAATAGCAAAAACAAATCAAACCCACTAAAATGAAAGAAAAATATAATCAAAAACCTGATCTTCCTCACGATCATATTGAGGTAAGTAACTAGGTTGAGCCAAATAGGTTCTAAAAGGAGAGAGAAAGCCAAATTTATGAAGTGAATTTGTGGATTGTAAAACCCCTTTAAACCTCTGCATCTCTCTGTATTTGGAGGTTCGAAGGTGTGTGAAATGTTGCGGCTTCTGTTGTTGGGTTTAGTGGGACTCTTCTCTCTCCTTTTTCCTTTCGCCTCAGTCAGCTATGCAAGAAGCCAATTGGATCGCGGCGTTTTACTTAGGAGTTGTGATTACCCCGCAGCGTTTATGTTTATAGATTTGTATTCCAATGTTGATCCTTTGAAGCCAATTCGGGCCAACAGATCGAGTTTAGGTTTGAGTTTGAGTTTGAATTTAAATTTGAGATGATTTAGTTGTCAAAATCTTATTTAAAATAATTAAATAAAATTATTTGAAGTTTTGTAAAACTTAATAGTTGTGCAAAAGCTTAATATACGCCGTATATATAATCCAATTGGGTTGAATTTGTGTTCCGTTCAAATTAGGTTATGAATTTTTTTAGTACAATAAATTCAACTCAGGTTATCAAGTTGGGTTAAAATGTGTGAGTTTAGTCACTTAAGTGTGGATTTGAATGTATGGCCAAATCAATTTTTTATTTTTTATTTATTTTTTTTTTTTTTTGCATTGCAATAAGCATGTTACTGATGTTGGTATAAGCCTTTTATACAAAATACTCCCTCCTTTCCTTCTTATTTGTCCTGTTTAAAATATTTTATTTAAAAAGAATGGCATTGAGTAAAGGAAAATTTGATTCTAATAATCCCACCTTTAACCGGTTCGCTGCTAATAATCCCATCTTTTGGGGGGTATTTTCTTCTAATGGTCCCTTATGACCGGTAACTTGTTGTTTGGGTAAGTTTTTTTTTTTCTTTTTTTTTTTAAAAAAAAATCCTTGGCCACCAGGAGGTAAGAAAAAATATTATTTTATTATTTTTGTTTTCAAAACGATAAGGAAGAAGGAAAGGGAAAAAAATTTGCTTTTAAAATTTTTTTTTAAAAGAAATATAAAAAATATTTTTTAAAAAAAAAAAATCCTTGGCCACCAGGTGGTAAGGAAAAAAATTAATTTTTTTATTTTTGTAAGGGAAAAAAAAATACTTTTTAAATTTTTATTTTTTGAAAAGAAAAATAAAAAAAATATATTTTTTTTAAAAGAAATATAAAAAATATTTTTTTTAAAAAAAAAAAAATCCTTGGCCACCAGGAGGTAAGAAAAACAAAATTAATTTTTTTATTTTTGTTTTCAAAACGATAAGGAAGAAGGAAAGGGAAAAAAATTACTTTTTAAATTTTTTTTTACAAGAAATATAAAAAAATATTTCGACAAATCACAAAGTGACACGTGGCATATTAACCCATTACACCGGTCACCAACAGGTTATGGACCATTAGAAGAGAATGCCCCCTAAAGGTGGGATTATTAGATAATAATCAAAAGGTGGGATTATTAGCAGCGAACCGGCCAAAGGTGGAATTATTAGAATCAAATTTTCCTCGAGTAAATTGGTAATAGTTATTAAAATTGGTAATAGTTATCTCATACAGTCATTCTCCAATAAATTAAATAATGTTCATAAAAAATAAATTATATCATTACGAATTTACGATCAATAGTGTTTAGTTTCAATTAATATAAAAGCTTTCTTTGAAAAATTAAGTCAAGATTGTGAATCGAGTTCATATAAAATTCTAAACTCCTTATTTGAACCGAATTATAGGATACCTAATCGATTGTCAATCTAGGATTTGAGACATTGTTAGTAGAACAGATACGAGTTATGGAGAAGTTGTGAAAAAGTTGCCTATCCAAACTCTGTAGACTATTCTACTGCAGACATTAATACATTATATGGATCTATTTATAAAAAGCATTCAATAACAAATTGAGGGAAGTGGTGAATGCTGCTTAGCTCTTATCCACTGTTTTACCACCTTTGCTGCCACTCTTCTAATCTAAATGATGACTCCACCTTGATTTGCTATGCTTTAGTTTTGATATATGATAGTGTGATGGAAGTCAAAAGAGAGTCCAATACAATTATGAATGATGGACTTATATTTTGTTGCTCGTGTATGTTTTTATCTCTAACAAATTCTATCTTGCAGATTATTTATAGAGATAATGTTTAATTCTGTTTTACTCAGATATTTGTTTAACATTGCTTTTGAATTTCGAATTTATGTTGCTAACCAATTTTTTCCTTAAGTTGAATATTTGTTTGACAGATTTTTCTAGAAGATTTCTGTTAACAAGTATTTTATATTTTTATTCTGTGATTATATTTCTGTCAAGATAATTTTGTTAATAATTTTATCTTATAATCTTGTTAATTATTTTATCTTATAATATTGGAATTTTATCTTATGTATTTTTGAATAATTATCTTGTGCTAACCTTGTTTCAAGGAATCTGTTAGTTTGTTATTGTAATAGATTTTAGCTGGCTGATTAATCTTCTTGAAAGATAAACGTTGAAACAGAATGCAGTAGCTAGCAAACGTTCAAAATTTCAAAAGGGCTGAAAATTCTGTTGAAGCAAGATTTAAGGAAATCTGTTGAAGACTTTCAAACCTTTGAAGTCAGCTTTACAACGTTTTGAAATCAGCCTAAAGGCCTTATAAATAGCGTCAAGATATGTTGAAGAAATAACGACAAGAACAACTACAACAACACTCAAGAATTATCAAGCTTCATATAATATAGCAAAGTGTTAAATGTTTTCTCTCTAAGTTCTTTAATACCTTATTGTGTGATTAGATTGAGAGAAAAGAAAAAGTGTATCTAAGAGTGGAAAAAGTATATATCAAAAGAGTGATATACTTAGAGTAAATTTATAATACTCAAAGTATAGTAAAAGTGAGTTAGCTTTTATTTCTGGGAATTGAGTGTCTAAGGTGTAGCGGGAAGTGCTATGGAGAGAAGATAGTGAGATCTTCTAGGTTGCTTTAGAACTCTAAGGGAAGAAATAAAAGTTGGTTAAAATCCTACGGGTTGGACAACCCTAGGCGGAGACGTAGGCCTTTGTGCTGAACTTCGTAACAATATTCTGAGTTCTTTACTTTCTGTTCTTGCACTTATTTTTATGTTGCTTAAACTGGTCATTTGCTAAATTCATACAATCGCATCTAACATTTTGTTTAGCAATCAGCTTCGCTGTATCAATTGTTTTCAAAGCCTTGACTTTAGGTCTGAAATTAGTTTGTTCCGCCTTGTAACTAATTTCAAGGCCTTGACATTTTCAGTTTTGCGAAAAACGCCCATACTCTATTCAACCCTCCCTTCTAGAGTATTATTTTGTTCATTCCATTACCATTGTGATCCTTTCACTAAACATAGGGAAGATCATTAAAATATATTGCTTTGGATGCTTTGACTTTTGTTGAGTCTGTAGGTAGAAAAGCAGGGAATTAAAGAGCTTGTAGCAAATCTTATTCAGATGATGCAGCTGGCAACCAAGCCTACTGAATTCTAATGATAGTCGAGTGCACAGAAAACATCTATCATGTAGCGCTTGGCCAAGAAATGATCCTTGCCTAGACCACTAAACAAGTTACCATTGTTGGCACTTGACTGAGAAGATTGAGAGGCAGTGCAGTATGTAAGGCAGAACAGGTTCCCAAATATGGGGAGAGAAACAACACTTGGTTTTGTTACTGCCTCTACTTTCTGTCGAGGACAGGAGGTGGATTATAACGCATGCTGATACAAAACACAGCATAAAACTCAGGTAATTCATGGAGCTTTAACAACTCTGCATAATTGTGACTTCGAGTTGTGTTTCTTGTAGTGACTTGGGGTCAGAATTGTGGTTGAAAAGCTCCCTTTATCGCTCTTCCCACAATATGATAAGTTTTGCAATTTCGTTTCACCCAATTTCATGCTTGGTGCATCTCCGTTCTCCAACTGCATTTATGATGTGCGTAGCTAGTATATCAGCCACCTCACATATTACCTAATTCTTGGTAAGAGAACCGATCCACAGTTTTCAATCAGTGAAAAGAGTAATCCAGAAGAAAGTTTTAAGAACATTACACAAGAAACTTTTTACGTGGAAAACTTCTTCTGTGAGAAGAATAAAACCACGAGACCTGAAGGAGTCCACCCTTTTCTTCTCTTATTATTATAAATATTTAAGGGTAACAAAATCTAACAAGTTTCACAAGTTTAACAAACCACCAATTACATAGATAAGAACCATAAGATATCAACAATAAGAAGACGACAAAGGTTACAACTATCACCAGAAAACAGATGTTCTGTCCAGCTTTGTTTCCTGACAAGCTGGAGCTGATATATCCACGATCACGCCAACCCTCCCAACACCAGCCTGTGATTAGCATCACTGTGTAAGCTTTCCCCACCTTCTAGGAAGGGTTGAAAAGCTCCACCTATCATTTGCTCAGGCCAATTTTAATTCATTAAACACCTGAAATCATTGATGTACAAACAAGGGCCTTGACTTACCCCACCAAAGTGAAAAAAGAGGAAACACACCCCCTTTGCAATTTCATTTCACCTTTTCGTGCTAGATGTATCTCCGGTTGCATCAATGATGCACAAAGCTTGGCATTTCTAAAGAGCATCGAAATAGTCACCATCTTGATCATCTTCACTTGAGTACATTATTCCCATACCACACTTCTAAAACAAGCCTCCTTCCTTAGTTCCTAGCAAAGTCTGGTAAAAGCTTGCTCCCTTCAGTGCTTGAAGCATCACAATGTTTATATCCCCTGAAACATTGAGCAATAACAAAATATGACATATCACAAAGGAAGAGCGGCAAATGTGTATATATAGCACATATTAAGGAGCTCCAAAGCTGTATACATGTCTCCATAAATAGTCAACAGTTTCAAAAATCTTAGGTAAAATAGTGAAATTTTCGTGAGACTAAGCACAGGATTTCTAATCCTATATGCACGGAATCTGACTTATTGGGGCATAAGTGTAAATGTAAAGAAAAGAAGCGAAGATAATAACAGATTCAAATTACTGGCTTTACTGATAAGGGAATTTTTATTGCAGAATTCAAGCCTGAAATTTCAGATACCTAAAGCTTGCAGAATCACCTGAGTACTATAATTTAAAAGTAGAAACCAGTTTTTTTATTTTTATTTTATAATTTTTAATTGAGACTATAATTTAAAATTAGAAACCAGTTGTAATCAACAAATAAATGGGAAGAGCTGCAATAAAAGTAGCTGTTAATGGTTAATATCAGGAAACAAATCTACCTGAAAAGACAGAATGAAATGAGTAGGCCTATGATGCAATATCATTAATTAGGGTAATGATATGATAATTTCTGCTAGGAAGAACCTGAGAAGCTTACAGCAGCACGGAATTTTCTGTCATGGAACTGTTGTCGCGGTATTCAGCAATCGTGGTTATTCATCATATAAAGGAGGCGGACTTGATTTGGTTATAATTGAATGAGGTATTCGCTGCTCAATTGCAAAGATATAATTAGAAATTGCTGATCCTTAACCAAAAACCCAATCCTTATACCAACAAAAAAAAGAAAAGAATGGCATGACTGCATGAGTTGAATATCCCATACTCGATTTTAAATATCACTGTAAGCACTCAAATAAATAATAAAGAGACAGAACGTAGCCAGGGTTGAGAAACTTACATGTAGACGTCGGGAATATGTTGGAGTAGGTGCCCGTCTTGGCCATCAAACGTGTCATATCTTGTTATCAAATCTGGACAATCACTAATGTAAAGTGTATGTAAAGAGGTAAGGTCTGGTAGTGACGCCATTTTCGGGCAACCATCAATCTTCAGCGTACGAAGCAAGGAGAGCTTTCCCAGTAAAATGTCTTCCAAGTTTTTGCAGTGTTTAATTTCGAGATGCGTAATGGAACTTGAAGATTCCTCCATCATCAAACTTGTCAGCTCCTTGCAACTGACTATTTTTATTTTCTGTAGGTTAGAGAATCTACTACTGATTGACAAAGAAGCTGGTCCAGACCTGATTTTACAAATATCCAGCGTTTTTAATGAGGTGAAAAGAGATAACGATGATGATGATGATGATGATGCTTCCATTGCCGTCAGATTCGATTCAAATGCCTTCCAATTGAATTCTATCGCCTCTAATGACTCCAGCTTTGGTGCTAGAGGCATTGACATCAAATTGAAACAGCAAAAGACAAGGAAACAACAGCTGCCTTGGCTCATCCGTTGTTGGTCTTGCCCACCCCTTTAAATTGTCTAAATGATGCAGCTCCAAGACCTCTAAAGATGGAAAGTACAAATTGTGGGATCCAGAAGAGCACTTTCCACCTTCTACTACATACTCCAATGCCGAAAGAGATATAAGATAAAGATGTTTGAGATGAGGCAGCTGACTCAAGTGCGGAAGATCTGTGCACTCTCTGCAATTTGTAAGACGAATGACAACAAGCTTAGAGAGCCCATCTAACCATTTTGGTGGCATCTCCTTTGGCAGTCTTGTTATGCCATCAGGAAGACACCCGATATCATTATTTGTAAGATCAAGGTATCTTAGATGCCTCAGCTTCCCTATAGAATTTGGGATTGTTGAATTACGTATACAACTAAATTCCAAGACGCGCAAAGACTTAAATTTCAATATCATTTTAAGAGATGATGCTTTTATTTTCCAAGCAGCAGGAATGTTTGAATGTAGTATCAATGACCGCATCAACCCAGCATCAAGCAACGACTCTGGAGCTTCCCATTCAACCTCTCTATCATCTTGTTCTTTACTTTTCATTTTTAAACCCGCATGTAGAAGTCTATCACCAACTACTTGGTTAGACTCACCCAATTGTTCCATCTCTTCACCAGCTATATCTTGAGGGATATCATGCACGATCTCCTCACCAGCTATATCTTGAGCCAAGTCATGCACTAAATCGTGCATCTTGCAGTATGCGACCTTCCCTTCATCGTCTTCTTCCGGGTCTTGAAATAAACTCCTCCCTAACAATCCCATAAAGTATTTCTCTCCAATATCTATGCGTGATGGATTAATATAACCTTGTGCCATCCACATTTTAACCAAACGCTCCTTACTATATCGATGGTCCTTTGGGAACAATGCACAGTAAGCAAAGCATTGCTTTAATGCCGGTGACAAGTAATCATAACTCAGCTTCAACACTTGCGTTATGTCCTTGTCTTCCTTCACATTTGCGGAGAGTCGAGCATCTCTAATTCCTTTCCAGTGTTCTTCACTATTATCATCGTAGAGAAGACATCCAATAACCTTGATAGCAAGGGGAACATTTCCACAGCTCTCAACTATCTCTTCCCCCAACTCAGTTAATGTAGAATTACTCTCGTCTTCCTTCGTTTTAAATGCAATCTTTTTAAAAAGAATCCTAGACTCATCTTTAGTTAGAAGTCCTAGTGTGTGGGATTCTTTTGTCCCAAGAGCATTTGCAACCTTTTTACTACGTGTTGTTACAATTACTTTACTCCCTCTTGCACAATATTTTAGCAAATCTAAGAGTTCTGTCCAAGTTTTATGTTTTTCATCCCATATGTCATCTAAGATAAGAAGATACTTCTTATTCCTAATCAATTTTATGATGCCTGATTTAATCTCACCCATTTTGAGTTGACTGGAATTCTTATTATTAGATTTATCACCGGTTAATGATCCGTTTTGTAGCCTCATTACAGTGTTTTCATGACCCATTGTAAGTTTACTGGAATTCCTATCATCATCAGATTTATCACTGTCAGTTAATGATTCGTAAACTCGCCTCATTACAATGTTTTCATCACCTGTCTCAGGTACACAGGCCCATGCAGCAACATCAAAATGATTCTTAACATCCTCATCATTATAAACCAGTTGAGCTAAAGTAGTTTTTCCAAGACCCCCAAACCCCACAATTGAAAACACAGCAATCTGTTCCTCAATATATTTGGGATCAAAAAGCATCCTAATAATAGTGTTTTTATCAGTTACCCTACCAACGACATTTTCTACATTCGCAATAATAGGGTCTGTTTCCCTGTTGCTTAAAAGCTGCATTGGCGATGGTAATTCTCATACAAAATTAGTGGTCAAGTTCAAGCCATCCATATTGGACTTGATTTCTTCAAGTTCTTTCTTAATAGACTTGATCTTATGAGCAAATTTTATACTATCTTTAACAGAAATGAAAGGCTTTGAGAATAAGACGCCTACCTTTTCCATCAAGCTACTCTCAACCTTCCGATTCTTGCGGTCGACGGTAAGGACAAGATCAAAAAAGTCATCAGCTCGGTACAGCACCTTCTTCAGTTTCTGCAGCCAGAGTTTGATCAGGTCACTGTTCTCCCCTTCTTGGCGCTTCTCAGCGTCCTGAACTCGAGCTTTGATATAACCCATCCTATCCTCAAGCTTCGCCAGATCATCTCGTGCACCCCAACAGGATGCAGCCTTTTTTACGGCTGCATCGCCCAAACTTCCCAGGACTTTTTTAGCTAAGACAGAAATAACTACGTCTGCCATTTTCTCTTTTTTTTTTTTTTATTTTTACACCTTGTGTTTCACTCTCTTTTCTCTCTTCCTCTTATGATTTGTGGGTTGTAAAAGATAGGATGAATTCTAGACTTAGCTTTATAGTACGAGGTCAATCAATCAGACTATACTCACTAGTGAAAGCAGTGTAAAACCAACCAATGAAATGATTTATTCTCTCTCCATTTCTTTGTATTTTTATTTTTAAACTATCAATTGCGACTTTTGTGAGCTGGTTCTATGATTTTCTTTATGACTCTAGACCTCTAGTGGGCAGGTAAGGATTAGTCAATGTTAATTGATAACAAAAAGTACTCTCTTTCCTAACTGTGTGAATGATGAGCTTTTCTTACGTTAATTAAAAGTAATTAATTCCACGACCTTTTATACGGAGTACTTATTTCTGTTCTCTTCAATACTTCACCATTTATAGCACTACAAAGAAGAAAGAAAATTGATAGAGATTAACCATTTTTAAAAGAATTAATCCATGAGCTGCTTTTGAATATATTAATCCATGCGCCGAAAGCAGCTTAAGGGCAAATTATAAGTAGGAGCCACAACAAGGTGATATAGTACACTCATAATTTATTTATTTATTTAATCCTTTAAATTCCTGGTGTAAAAACACTTCTGTGCATAAAAGTACATACTACGTGTCGGAAACTTCCTTTTATGGAACTCTCTTCACACTATTATTCAAATACTCATCGGAATATCAAGCTCAAGAAATTTATCTGTTGAGATCAATTGCGTGGGTTTTTATAGAGAGCAAGCTTAGTCATTAACTTCCCACTATCAATATGTACACATGCCATGACACCCACTAATACATGTTTCCATATTATGGAGTCTAATTGACAAGTGGTGATTAAGGGAGGTTTCCTAAACTTGCTCACCAATCCACTAACATCTCAACAATCTCCTATAATTTTGCCATTGAAAAACCGTATGAAGTGAATGATAAAGACCGGTTAGTTGACTTCTTCAAAAAGATATTTATTAAAAAGATAATTTGTTTAAAAATGGTATATAATATATGTATTTAGTGGATACGCATGATAATTCTAGGATATTTTAGATATACTATGTTTATTATTTTATAAGGAAACCCTAATTGTATTACATGTGTATATATATATATATATATATATATATATATATATATATATATATATATATATATATATTATTGAGTAATAAGAATATCGATCTATTCTCTCCCCTACTTTTCCTCTTTCTTTTTAATTTCATAATACGTTATCAGCACCATAGCTCTAAGTGATCGATTAAGATTAAAGTTATATCATAATCGAAAACGGTTGCTATTGAGATCTTGGTATACTATTAGCAAGGAACATCCTACAAATTGATGGATTATGAATCAACCTTGCAGTTAAAAACTATAATACAACACAATATTCCTAACGTGATATTTAGAATTTGATAGGCGACATCGTGCGATGATGATCCATGAAACCATCGTGAGCCGATTATCAGGGAAGTTTCCTCACAATTTCATTAATTTTAATTTATTAAGCTTTGATTTTACAAATTATATTTGTTATGTGTCTCTTTTATACATGTTATATTATTATGATGTACTGTTTTGTTATGTTGGGGTTGAATTAATGTTAATTATAATTAAAAGTTAGTGTAACTCACCATGGTGAGTATGTTCGGTAGAATACTTTTATGTAGCCTATATGTGTGTGGCTAGTATATAATTGACTTGTTAATTTACAGTTTCTTTACTTCTTCTAGTACCATAGATTAAATTTGAAAGAATTGTGAAAAACACAATTTGTCCAATAAGAGAAGAGATGATGCGTGTAGATTGTTCAACTCATTGATGAAAACATCTTCTATTCTGATGATTATCTAATTTGCTACAATTGATGCAAATTATCCTAAAAAGCATTTTTTATAGTGCTTGCCACGTGTATTTGAAAATTGAAGTCAGCAATATGAACGTATCTAATTGCCATGACCTTAATCGAAATTACGGGCCCCAAATTAGAGAAAGTCCACTCGAAATTGTTATTTGTGTTGTTAAAGTATACTTCAAAAGTAAGGTACGCATTTGCCATCATACTCGTATTATTGATTTGTGATTGTTATGGTAATTAAATATAGTTAGCAGTAAGAATTAATTGGCTAATGATTGTTATTATTTTTAATTTTCAATATTGTGCCGATATTTATATTCTATAGAGTATCAGTGAATTATTTAACAATTTGTAATTGTTATGTTAAATATTGTGGCATGTCGGCACTATTCCAATTAATCAGTTAAGGTATCTTGAATTTTGTACGATTTTAGTGTGTCATGCATACAGAGAAGTACGTTACGAAGTACTAGAACTGCATCTAGTTAGATCAGTCATCTCCTTGGTTGTGGTGGACTTTAAGAATAACCTAGTTTTCTTGGATAAATCAATTTGGTTACTTCTTGGTTTTATGTAAAGTATAGTAAATGAATTTTGCCATTATAATTTTTCTAATTTATGATTTTATTTGCTGATTTTGGGGTTATCAAACTTAATTAGCTTTATCACATGATTTTGTTATGTTTATGTGATATGTTTACTATTAATAATATAATATTATCTATTACTCATTATCATGATAATTTATTATAAATATATTTATCTAAACTAGACCCTAAGTCTTTGTTTATAATATTTTTCTCATGGTATGTTTATATCTTATACTACGTATTGTAGGTAGCATGTGTTTTATATTGGTTTAATGCTAAGGAAAGTCAATTTAGTTTTGATTTATTATGGAGTATTGTTATGATATAATTTCCTAAATTATATCTCAAAATTAGAGGATATACTTCACCATTTAGGAGATGTTGATAAAATTTGTTTACGCAATTCTGGGAGATAATTAGGTGGAATGTATGTAAACTAGGAGTAGATTGATCATGCACACGTGATCCTTGGCTTGAATCAAGGACACGGTTACGCTTTATTTTGTTATCACTTGATAATATATAGACAAAGAAGTGGAATAAAATTAAAAGGTAGAAAAAAAAATTGAGGAAAATTTCTTAACAAGTATACATATTTAATTATATGCCTAAGCTAACTGCTCAAGAAGTCTTGTTTGATCAAATTATGTGATTATGATGAGTATGGAAAACATCGTGGAATATTTTTATGGTAATGCATTGAACTCTTTAACGATGATTGTAATATTATTTGTACTTTTATGAGTGATATTACTTACACTTGAATGACGCTATAATTTCATTGACCTCATGAATAATAGGTTTAAAAATATTTACGTCATAATCAAGAACTAATAATTATGAGTATGATTTGGTTTTTTTGATGATATGGAGCATTATATTGTTTCTAATTACCCTTATAAGTGAGATTGTTAATATTTGCATGATGTCATAACTCTAAGTGAGTATTGAAGATACATAAATTACTAGATTTACTCACTCCATAAGTGAATGAGAGTTCATGTGATTGAAAGAAAGCATGTTTGCATGATGTATTCGTGATTACAAACATGATTACATATCAACTATTGGACCAAGAAATAATGTTTATGAGTTTATAAAATGCAACATAACATTGAGAGAAACTTTACATGATCAACGTTTTATTATGCCCATAAATATAAGAGGTTTCGGTTTTTTTTTTAATATGAATGTAATTGGGCAAGAGGAACATGATTAAGTGTTCTATAAGTATAATTTTATCTAAGCATGTTTTTGCTAAAAGGAACACGTTACTTGATACATGATATTGCCAATAGAATTTATGGCTTAAAAGGGTTAGGGATTTAAAGGTTGTTGGATTGATTCCATACCCCCCATATGCAAGGATTAGGGGGAGATTGTAAGTAATCCTTGCACATAAATAATTAAATATATTGATGGTCAGTTTGATACATACATTAACTTAAATATCAACGATTTATCTAATAGAAGTGGCCACAGGTTAATTATTTATTTTGAAATGATACCATCCTGAAGATGGATATAAATAAATGTCATTGATTATATACTAGTTGTAAATGCTCCAATTAAAATTGATGTCTAGAAGAACAACATCAATTGCTGATGAACCTATAGCATGCCTAAAGCGTGATAGATCAACATGTTCCAAAGATAATTAAGTATCTTTGAAAAGGAAAGGAGCCATTATTGACAATGACAAATTTGAGGAAGTGATAAAGTCCATTACATTTCTTGAAGAAATCACTTTTAGTAAAATTCATATGTTCCATGATTATATGAAAGACTCCAGAAGAGTATGAAATGTCCAACAAAATTAACATGTATCAAGTTATAGTCAAAACTCTAGTAGAGTATGAGTAATTATTGGATAAAATATTAGTTATTGTCTTGTCAATTGTATAAAGAAACACATGTTGATGTTCTAATATCACATCATACTCATGGACATGCATAAAGTAAGTTTAATAAAGTGATCACTAGTGTTGAAAACTGACTAGAGTTCAATTTCAGAGATGTGATTAGATGTGATAATTAAATTAGGTCACCCGTGTTCAATAAATACGTGTTATGG